TTATATTCACATCATTTATTTATTTATTTACTTTATAGAAAGCTTTTATTTAATAAATATAACTTTCATAATTACAACTTTTAGATTATAGCAATTCTTCCCCCCCATATCTGCCTTCCCACCCCCAAACCATCCTACCTCCTATCCCTCTCCCATCTCATTCTTCATTAAGATTCATTTTTAATTACCTTTATATACAAAAATCAACTCTATACTAAGTAAAGATTTCAACAGTTTGCACCCACACAGACACACAAAGTATAAAGTACTGTTTGAAGACTAGTTTTATTGTAAATTCTCATAGTTCAACACATTAAGGACAGAGGTCCTACATGGGGAGCAAGTGCACAGTGACTCCTGTTGTTATTTACATCTTTTATATAAGTTCTGCAAGTAAAGCAATGGATAGCCATATGACTTCAGGCTTCTTTTGGGTAATACAATTTCAGTATATATCTTAAGATTTTAATCTAAGAATTATTGGTCCTTAAGGATATTAAAAGGACAACTCAAGCCCTTCATTCTGATAATTAAAAGAAAAAATATTTTTATGTCTTAAAACCTAAAAAGAAGAAATTCCACAAGTTCTGACCTTCATTTGTTCTAATATTTAAGCTTCTCAGCTGGTAGGAAGTTCTTTGTATCTTTCCTGGAGAACTCTTTGTTGTAGCTTAGAGTCTATGAAGATCAAGGACCATTGGTCCTGATGTCAGTTTCATGTAATTAGTGCATCCCTGCTAACAGAAAGTCATTTTGAAGAGCTGCGTTGTTAAGAGGGTGATTTAAAACTTGTTCAGTGTCTTTTTTTCCGATTTTGTGTTTTGTTATCCACCTTGGCTGGCCCAGTTGAGTTAAAGATGACATTCAGCCTAGCTGTCGTGTACTTGGAGAGGCAATTTTTCTTAAGTGGGACCCGCAGGCTCTTTGGTCTGAGTGCCATTAGAAAACTGAACTGTCACATCCAGGAGGAGTGAAGAAACAGAAAATCAGGGAAAGGCAAGGACATAAGCTGTCAGGGAGGAAGAAAGGTAAAAATCAAGGAATGGTGGGAAAAAAAGGGATCATGAAAGAAGTTGACCATGGTTACAGTGCTAGGTGTCCCAGCAGTTATCTGACTTGTGCATGCAGCATCCAGGATGAGCTAGCAAGCCCAGTGGGGAGAGGGAAAGTGAGCCGGCTGTAGGGACTCTTGCTGCGGTCTTCATGGCCTCACGTTCATATCGGGGCTCATCAGACACTGTGGCAGTCGGTCTACATTTGAAATGATATGGTGCTCATTATCTACCTGTGTAGGACCCTGAGAGGAACCTACCAGGGCTTTGAAAGTGGCACAGAACTGATGACCCTAGTTCTTCGATTCCTTCGTTGAACAGGTTCACAGATACCAATAAAGGAACAGACACACCTCCTCTGTCCCATGAAGTTCCTGTCAAACATTTCCTCCCAAGTACTTCTGACTGCAGTATAGCACATGGGCAGCCCAGGGGACTGGTGAAATAGATTCTGAGTTTTCTTAGAAGTCTTTTTATCTTGCAAATCGTGCAAATTTCACATGATGTCCCGTAATAGGTGTGTGTGTCTTTTAGTAGTAACACAGTATCTCTCTCTCACACAGAGTCTCTGAGGCTCAGGAAGATGCACTATACATGTCTGACAGTTTCAGAACGCCCTCCCCTCTGTCCCCACCCCACACACTAGGCCACATTTCATCTGGGGTGCAGATTCGCAGGAGTCACGTGGGAGAACAGGCATTCCAGGCAGCTTTTGGTGGCCCAGGCTCTACTGGAGATGATACTGTAGGTATTTGCTGAATTTGCAAGGTACCTCTCTGAATTATATGAGCAATTGGTGACATAAATCCACCTGAACAAACCTATACTCACTTCTAACAAGGGACCGTATGAGCACAGACTTGAGGGGTAGTTCTAGTCTAGCACACTCAAAACTGTTCATCTCACATGCCTCTGAGCTGTCTGGGTCCCAGGTCCGTTGTCTTCTTGGACACAGAAATAGTATTCTGTTTCTCTCAAAGTCGAATTGGTTCTTTACAGAGTTGCCTGGAAATTTTAAATAATTCATGTCAAGTGTGAAACCCAGCTCCTTACGTATGGTAAACAGCCCGTGCATGTTAGCTGCTATTTGATTGTGGAGACTATCATCACTGCAGTGTGTGCCTACTGTGAGCAGAGCAGCATTTGTGCATGCAAAGCGCGGCCTGCTGGTGGCACGTTCAGAACAGATGGTGAAGAAATAATTTTGCGTCTGGAATTGTGAGCAGGTGAAAAACCTTTATATCAAACTAAGAAATATGAGTATATACTGCTTGCTGTATGGTGAAGGTAAATGGAATAAGTGAAATTTTTAAGCAAAAAGGTGTTTAAAAATGAAACCATTAACTATGCTAGTGGGAAAATGGATTTTTTTTTTTTTTAGTTTTACATTATTTAGCAATGTGGCCAAAGCATAATAGTTCTATGGAGTATTAGTGCCTAGTGTGGTACCTAGTTTACACTCCCTCTTATAGCTGCTTTGTGTATCTTGCTGGAATGAATCTGATAGGTTCAGACCTTTTTATGGAGGACTGATTATATATACATGCCTGATTAAGCAAGACATTCGAATGTTACTTAATGGTCAGTGAGAAGCCATTTAAGATTTTTGAACAGGGAAATGATGTAATCCATTGCGTGCTTTATTATACTGGAAGGAAATGTACAAAAGGTTATATTTGATGACATAACTATAGTCAGTTTTCTGGTTTTGCTTTTTTACAGTTGCTAAACACGTATCCTCTCTAGTAGCACACTTCTGAAAGTAATAGTGGCTTTCTGGGGGAGGTAGGGAGTAGGAGTGGGAAGTATATCTGAATCTGGGAAGGGGTAGCGTTGAGTCACTGAAATACAGCCCCTCGGGATTATCCTCCATGAGAATCCCTATTTTAGGGAACCCCAAGTATCAGAATCATGGAATGTAGAGCTAAGTTTAACCCCAAGATCTTCAGATCTTCCTTTCACATTATGGATAAGTGAATTCCTGAAGATTCAACCCAGGACTCTAGATTCCTAGCCCATTTTTCTTTCTATCCTGAATTACATGAAAACTGCAGAGGAAACTTCATAGGTGAACGCACTTAGGGAAGTTTGTCCTATATTTGTCGTCTTCTTTGCTGCAGGGTCACGAGCCTGAATGTTTTTGGCTCTACTCTTACTAGATGGTACAATTCATGTAAATCACTAAGATAAAACTTTTAGGGATGGATGTTTGATGTAGAGGTTAGGGCATCACTTAATGATTGCTTACTTTGCATTATTTGAGTACCTGGGAGTCATTCAACAGCTGGGAGATATCTGTATGTCTGTGCCCTGCCTCTACCTTTCAAAGAAATAAATGAATTAAATTAAAAAATTTTTACCACCCAAGAGGCAAATTACTAAAAACATTTATGTTTTCACCAGTCTTTTTTGTAAACATATACTTTTAAATTAGAAATCTGTTGTTTTCTAGCTTTTTTTAAAAAATCATATATATATATATAATTTACTTACATACATAAATCTTATGTGAAGACATCATTTAAAATGGTTGTGTCCCAATCATAGAGATGTCCAGCAATGTTTATGATTAAGCCTCTGTTGTTAGATCATTCTTATTTTCTCAAACCGGCAACTATTTTACAACTACAGATGGTTCTATAGGAGCTGTCCAGGTATTCACACAATAATTTGGATTAATGTTTTTTTCTTTTTACTGCCTCACTGAGGGCAGGTAGTTATAGAATCCAGGTTATGATCTGGCACTTGAAGAGGACAGCAGGTTAGAGAAGTGCTGGGTGCCAGGGGCCATGGTTTCATGCTGTTAGAAACCCAGGAAAAGGTAACTTGAAGGAGTTTTGTGCAGTAGAGTAATTTCAGTATTTTGCATAGGAATGGCTGTTTTGTCTTGTCTTGTCCTCCATGACCTTTGCTGCAAACCTTGAAGTCCATGCTGTTCTAGAACTTCCTGGTGTTCTTACACCATTGGTGTATTAAACAGTGGTTAAAAAGACTGGATGCCTACATGCCCCTTCCGTTTATTACCTTCTGCCTTCCAACCTAACTGCTTACAAACTTTAGGATATTATGAGTTGTAGAATACCTATCGTCAAATTAAGGGTATTTTTTTCAATCAAGTGGGAATGGAAGGGTGGAGGTTGGCAAGGGAAAACTAATTGAATGTCATCAGGAAAGGATGGACAAGAAGCCATCAAATAACGATGTAAGGTCCAAAAGTTGCTGATTTGTTCAGGACGCTGGAAGATGATACCTAAAAACTCTCATTATGTGTAAATGCTTGTGCTGGGGAGAAATGGGCATAACAGAAAAAACTGTAATTTGTAAATATTCTAAGAGCTCTTATTTTAGCCAGTAGTTCCAGTTGTGGCTTAAAACAATATATCTGTACTTCTAAGTAACAAAATGAGTAGATTTGCATTTCATATGCTCTTTCTTAGTTGAAAACCATTGATTATGTAGGGGATGGACGATGACACTGCTGTATGACATTGGACAGGGCTTTTCACCTCCATGGTTTCTAACCTCTTAAGTAAAAGGATGATTAATATTGCTGTTGATAATTTTTGAAGTTCCTTCTGAACCTAATGAGTCTTTATTTTTAAAACAAAAGAAGGCCTCTGAGGTAGAATTGGCTATCCCTTCTGAAATCTGAAAAATTAAGCAAAATGCTGATCTTGTAGGTTCATGGAACTTTTAAGTACAGCATCTTGAAGGTGTCCCTCTATCAACTAAAGAACAAATGTCTCAGTTTAATATATGACTGCATAAAAAAAATGCAACCACAGTAGGTGACCAAAGGGATAAGTAACTTTCAGGAATTTTGAAAGCCCAGTAGTATTTAGTATATGCTCTCTCAGCATTAAAAAGGTCACCTTGCTAATACATGTTAATTTTGAAAGTTTAATTGACCTTTGGAATTTTAATATCAACCTTTTTTGGTATGTTTAGAGGTTGGAGCCATCACGGAAGAAACAGAAGCCTGTGACTGGTGGAGTCTGGGTGCTGTCCTCTTTGAACTTCTCACTGGCAAGGTAAGCACTGACCTGGACGGTTAATAAATTGATCCAGATGCTACCTTGATTTCCAATTGGGAACGTTAGCCTTTGCCTTTAGTTTTTAGGTCAGGGACTAAGTAAGAAAAGCTTTGGTGCCAAAGGCAAGCAGAGTACTGGAAGTCTTATCAAGATTATAGATTTTTTAAAAAGTCAAATTATATTTCTTTGAATAAATTGTTGGTAAAATTGCATCACAGTGATACTTAGGTATAAGACTTAAATTTTTTTTTCTGAATTGGTGAGTCTGCTACTATCAGATCTTTAAGGTTCATTAGTATTAGATGTATTAGAATTCTCTGGATGTTTTAAATATCTTGTTTGGAGCCAGGATGGAATTCTGATTTTAGAAAATTAATGTAGATATTAAAGGTAATATCTTTTTTTCTCAATACTATAATTTTTTCCTACTTATACTAGCATAACGAAAGAATTTATACAATCTCCGATAAATAAATTTTATACAAAGCTTTCTTTAAAAAAATATTTTCGGGGCTGATGCTGTGGCATTGTAGGCTAAGCCTTTGCCTGCAGTTCTGGCATCCTATTTGGGCGTTGGTTCATGTCCAGGTTACTCCTTTTCTGATCTAGCTCTCTGCTTATGGCCTGAGAAACAGTAGAAGATGGCCCAAGTGCAAGGGCCCCTGCACCCATGTGGGAGACCCAGAAGAAGCTCCTGGTTTCAGATTGTCCCAACTGCAACCATTGTTGATATTTGGGGAATGAACCAGCAGTTGGAAGACCTCTCTCTCTGTCTCTCCCTCCCTCCCTCCCTCTCTCTCTCTTTCTGTAACTCTGCCTCTCAAATAATTAAAAAATCTTTAAAAAATTATTTTTACTGTATTTGAAAAAGAGAGAGAGAGAGACAGAGACAGAGAGACAGAGACAGACATGTCTTCCATTAGCTAGTTCACATATCTTCTATTAGCTAGTTCACTCTTCAAATGCCCTCAGCAGACAGGGCTGGGCTAGACTGAAGCCCAGGAGGGTCTCCCACATGGGTAGCAGGAGCCCAGGTACTTCAGCCATCACCTACTGCCTGCTATAGTCCACATTAGCAGTCAGTGGAATTGGGAGTGGAGGAGCTGAGTTTCAGACCAGCACTCTGACACAGCATGTGGGTGTCCCTAACAGTGTCTTAACTGCTGAGCCAGATGCCTGCTGTAATAACCTTTACATATGATGTTTGAGATTAATAGACTTTAGTAAAGGAAATGAGCAATTATGCTCTTTTTGTAAAATTTATTTATTTTTAAGATTTATTTATTATTTGAAAGGCAGAGTTACGGAGAGGCAGAGGTAGAGAGGTCTTCCAATCCTTTGGTTCACTCCCCAGATGGATGCAATGGCCGGAGCTGCACCGATCTGAAGCCAGGAGCCAGGACTTCTTCTGGGTCTCCCACATGGGTGCAGGGGCCCAAGGACTTAGGCCATCTTCTACTGCTTTTCCAAGCCATAGCAAAGAACTGGATGGGAAGTGGAGCAGCCGGGATTCGAACTGGTGCCCATATGGGATGCCAGCACTGCAGGCGGTGGCTTTACCTGCTATGCCACACAGCACCAACTCCAAGCAGTTACACTCTTAGAAATAGTCAAGTACCTTCAATGTGTGGATAATACCAACTTAACGACTGTTGTGAAGTTGACATGTGTAAATCAGCTTTGTGTACATTTGAACTATAAAGTGCTATACCAACATGAATTATCAACACATTCTGAAAATTTGAAGATTTAATTTTAAAAGAACACCGATTATTTAAGAGATATTAACTCCCATGTTAGTAATGTAAATTTTTCTGTTATGAGTCATTCATCTTATCATGAAGGGAAAGGGAGCTGTAACATACTGAGCTCTCTGTGACCATGCTGATTGTCTGCCTTTGTTTCAGTTAGAAGTTCTGTGGCCTCATAGCCCTCAGGCTCAATTGCTTAGGTGGAACTGTGTTAATTATTATACTTCCAATTGAGGTAATTGTTAAGCTTTCTGTACTTGCTGTCCATAAATCCTGTGATGGATTAGACAATGGTGTTATTTGGGATAAGAAGTGTTCCTGATTGATTGTTTCAGACTCTGGTAGAGTGCCATCCAGCAGGAATAAACACTCACACTACCCTGAACATGCCAGAATGTGTCTCTGAAGAGGCTCGCTCACTCATTCAACAGGTAATTTAATTGACTTATTGGCCAAGTTTATCAGCCATGCAACTTAGCAGAGCCTGAAAGCTCCAAAACTTTAAAAGAAATTAGTTTTGAGCAAGAGAGACTCATTTATGATTGCACATTCAGAACTTATACTGTGTATCCTTAGGCTTCTGCTCTTACTGGAGTATTGGTAGGATCAGAGAAGACAGAGAAGATAGTTAAAACTTTTTTTTTTTTTTTTTTAATGAAGGCTGATGGTTAGTTCCATATGTTTGTGCTGGTGTGAGATTTTAGTATTGCTTTTAGCTTGTGTGGGCTGTTCTATTTTTGCTATTGATTTTGTAACTGTTTATGAATAGGTATTTTTAATCTTTTAAATTTACAAATAGTGAGGGGCTACTCAGGTTGATTAGGAGAGAACTGTTGTTAGAAAATCTTGTCAAGTTAGATCATTCTACGGCTTCATCCATATGGAACTTGGACATTGATGTTAATTCATACAGTTCTGGTGGCTTTGATGAAAGAATATTGATAATAGAAGGTCAGTATCCCAGCAATGGGCTTGGAACTCAAGCATGCTTCTTTTATTCATTCCCAATATTTAAAATACTCCTCTAGTTTTTTTTAATTTAATTTAATTTATTTTATTTATTTATTTTTTATTTTTTGACAGGCAGAGTGGACAGTGAAAGAGAGAGAGAGAGAGAAAGGTCTTCCTTTGCTGTTGGTTCACCCTCCAATGGCCACCGTGGCCGGCGCGCTGCGGCTGGCGCACCGCGCTGATCCAATGGCAGGAGCCAGGTACTTATCCTGGTCTCCCATGGGGTGCAGGGCCCATGTACTTGGGCCATCCTCCACTGCACTCCCTGGCCACAGCAGAGGGCTGGCCTGGAAGAGGGGCAACTGGGACAGAATCCAGCATCCCGACCGGGACTAGAACCCGGTGTGCTGGCGCCGCAAGGTGGAGGATTAGCCTAGTGAGCCGCGGCGCTGGCCTCTAGTTTTGAATAATGAGTTTTGTGCAGTAAACTGAAGACTGCTAGTTTTGTAGAATGTTAGGCTTATAGCAAATGAGCAAGAATGGTCAGGCCTGGGTTCCTTATAGTTTATGAAAAACATAAAGGAAAAGGTTATTTGAAAAAGAACAAGTAAAATTATTTAATACAACATGTTTTTTAAAAAAATAATCAGGGAAAACAAATGAACAGCAAAGAAAAAAGGATTGGGAAGAATCTGTTAAGACAATTAACTGGTATTCTCATAAAGAGTGATTTTGGTGTAATTCAGCAGATATTTAATGCAAGGACAGTGTTATACACTACATAGATAAGACTCAGAAATAACTGACACAAGGTAGAATTTGATAAAGGCTATCAAAGATGTTTAAAAACTATTTTGGCAAGTAAAGAGAGAAGGTGTTACAGTCAGTGCAGTGCAGGAAAGATTTTATGGAGTTAATATTATTTTTGCTGGACCATAGACAGGATTTAATCATGGCAAGGGAGTGTGTGGGGGAATTGGCTAGGTGGAATGAACAGCTCAGACAGACAATGAAGGAATCAGAAAGACTCAGTTTAGGAAATGAAAAATCTGGTTAATCTGAGGTGGAATGCTTACTGTAAAGATGAACAATAGTAGTATGTGAGTGTAAAAAGGGAAACTGTGGTTCTTTTTTATAAACACCAAGGTAGAGTAGTGGTGGTAGTTCATTCATCAAAAATTTGAGATTTGGAGATTTTGTACAGAAGAAAGAGAGGATCAGAGTTGTACTCGAAAGATCACTTTACCCAGATTCTGTAAAATATAATCAAGTTGGAAATACAAAGATGAGAATACCCCAGTCACTTTGGATCATCTTAATGGAAAATAATGAATAGCTATTCATTTGATCTCATCTTATTTGGGGGCACAAGGTAAGCATTTTTTGGTAAATAATTTTAAAGAAGGATAATAACTGCTGGTTTTTGTTGTTGTTGTTGTTTGTTTCTTTTCCTTAAAGAAATAGTCAAGTTATTGAGGGTAGAATTACCACAATAGTATGTCATGTTCTGTCCCTGTCTTTATTAGAACTTAATAGGAGTCTAGGTATGTTAAATCCCAGGATGCAGACACCATAACTTAGAGTGGAATGAGTCTTCGTCATTGGCCTGCCTAAGGAAACCACCACTCATGTTGAGGAAACATCGTCAGGAAAGGGAAAAGGGGGCTCTTGACATGATTAGCAATTTGTCATTTTGACTTTCCTCTTCCACTACCTCACAGGTCAGAGGTTATTTAAAAAAAAAATCAAAAATGATTTATTTGGAAATAATTATTCTGCTTTGATGAAATTCTCTCCTTTTTGGTCTCTCAGTTCCTTGCTTTGTTCTTAGATTTCATAATCCCCTGTCCCCATGGTTCAGTCATCTGTCCCAGTCAAGTGAATGGTGCTGAAGTAAATATACTTCCTCTCGAAGTGCAAAACACTCCTCAGGTGTGTTTGTGCTTTGCAGCGGTTAGGTAATTGTGGCACAGTCGCTTTCAGTTAAAAGGTATTATGTGAGGAGACCCAAACAGACTTCTGTGCCCTGCGGCTCAGCTCTATCACCTGTTCTTGAAGGGGGACGTTAGCAGTGGCTGTCTTGGATGCTGTATCTGGAATGTGCCACTAGCTGACACATTCTCTTCACCAACAGAATCTTTGTGTGATCTCTGTTGCTACCTGTTACAGTGTGTAAAATGGCAGGATAAGCAAGATAGTCATGCGTAAACCAATTTTGCCTTTGTGTATGGATTTATATTTGCAAATATGTGGAGAAATCCATGAACTAAGTAAATTGACTTCAATAAAAGTCAAAATATGAACCTTTGGAATTTCACATTCGAAGTCATGTTTTAGAAAGAGTGGGTAGAAAAGCCAGTTGTAACAAAGCTGAAAGAACTGATATGTTATATATATATATATATATATATATATATATATTTCCTGAAATATTAAAGAATATAATGCTAGACCTATGAATAGACATGAATTTGTTGATTGTGAAAACAGGTTTGATAGACTTAGGATATTTCTATATGTTTTATAATAAGAGCTTTCTCTTAACACATTTTAACAGTTTCTAATATAAAAATTCTTTGAGTAATTTGTTTCACTAAAGAGTAATAGGAGCATTTTGTATACTAGACATAAGAATTCCAAGTGAAAAGACAAGTTAGTGTTTTGAAGTATATACTTCATTCCCTTTATGGATTTGGTAATATTGAAGTAAACTAATAGATTCTTGGCATTTGTAGATCGCACATTCATCGAGTAGTGTGATATGGATAAGGCTTAGATTTTGGAGTCAAAATTCAAACCCTAACATTGCCATTTGCTACCGATATAAAACAACTTACTTAATTTTTCTGAGCCTCTTCTCATCTGTAAAATGCAGATAATAAGAGTAGCTCGTTGTAGAGTTGTTGTGAATAAAATGATCTATATTAAGCACTGAGAATAATGCCTGGCATACCATAAATGTTATACAAAAGTTTGTTATTATTGTTGTTGTTATTTAAGATTTATTTTTTATTTATTTAAAAGACAGAGTTACAGGGAGAGGAAGAGAGACAGGGAGAGAGAGCTCTTCTATCCACTGGCTCCTTCCACAAATGGCTGGCCAGGATGAAGCAAGGAGCCCAGAGCTTTCTCTGAGTCTCCCACGTGGGTGCACGGGCCCAAGCACTTGGGCCATCCTGCACTGCCTTCCCAGGCATATCAGCTGAATCTGAAGTGGTTACAGCCAAGCCTTGAACTGGTACCCAAATGGAATGCTGGCATTGCAGGTGGAGGCCCAACCTGCTACATCACAACATTGTTTAAAGTTCATGACAATCATTTTTAATTTGATGATGCATTTATTTGAATTATAAGTCTACTCACATAAGAATAAGACAGCTGCTTGTGATGCAGGTGAAAAGATCTAAAACAGCAGTGGAATGACACATAAGAGGCAATCCACTGATATTTATCATATAAATAGTTGAATTAATGTATATGAATGATATAAAAAGTAGAAGTAGAGAAAAACAGGGAAAAAAGGAAGAAATTTTGGTTAAGTTTGAATAGTGGAATTTCCTATATATAGGATCATTAATGTTGTGAAGAAATAATTAAATATTTCAGTTGCACTTGGCAATATTCTGTAGGAAGAAATATTTATTGTAGGTGTATTCTCAATTTTGAGTGGCTGTGGCTGCATGAAGGAGGTAGCAAGTACTGTCCCATAAAAAATTATTAAGTTGGATGTAATTACTAAAACCATGTTGTAATCCTGCAGTAACCACTAAAATACCCTAAAACAAACTGGTAAGGGAAATTCAGTAGAACTAAAATGGTACAGGAAAAATAGTTAACAGTTACAAAAGAAAGCAGTAAATAAATAACAAAAATGACAATGGGAGACAAGTAGTAAAGTAGCATATATAAACCTACCATATCAATAATTAGATTCAAATCATTAAATCATTAAATTCAGTAATTCAGATGTCTGCCCTTTTTTGGGCAGACATTATTAAATTGGGTAAAAAATTAAGATCCAACTCTCTTATATTTCAAAAATCTCTTAGATAGACTATAGAAACAGTAACCATAGAGAGAGGGAGTGGCTATATTAAGTACAATAAAGTAAATGGTAAGATAAGAACCCTACTAGAATTATGTTTCATAATGATAAAAGAGTGAATACATAGGACACTATTAGAATTACAAATTACTACATGCCAGTAATGGCCTTAAAACATGTGAGATGGAATCTAATTGAATTGAAAAATAGACAATCCACTAAATACTAGATGGAGGCTTTTTTATCCCATTCTTAATAATTGATAAGAAATCAGGGAAGATTTAGACAACTCAACATTGTTAAACAACACTTACTGAAATGTATAGAACAATGCATCCACTGACTCAGAATACATATTTTACCAAGTACCTAAGCTTCAATATAGATGATATGCTAGGCCATAAAACAAGTTTCAGTATTTAAAAGGATTGAAATCACATAATGTACTCTGACCGTAACACAGTTTTTAAATTAAGAATCAGCAATAGAAAGAGATTTTCTGGCTCATAAATATTTTGAAATTAACACACTTCTAGGTTATGTATGGGTCCAAGAAGAAATCCTAAGAAAAGGTAGGAAATGTTTTTAACTGACTGAAAATGAACATACAGTACACCATAATATGTAGGATGGAGCTAAAAAAGCAGTTCTTAAAGAAAATGTATGGCTTTAAATACCTATATAGAGAAAAAAGAAAAGTTCTCAAGTCAAAATGTAAGTTTGCACTTTATGGAACTATGGAAAGAAGCAAAATGACTCCAAAGCAAGTAGAAGAAAGGAAGCAGAAGTCAAAAAGCAAAATTAGAGAAGAATCAAGAAAATCACAAGTTGTTTTTTTAAAATTGTATACAAGTTTTCAAATTGTATATGAAAAGGAAGAGAACCTAGAATATCTAAAATTTTGAAAAGAGAGCAAATTTGGAGGACTTACACTGATAAAGCCATGATAATTAAGACAACAGTGTATTTTTTAATAAATGGTGCTAGGAATCAAATATTCACATGCTAAAAACAAAATGAGCTCAAACCCTTACTTCACACTATATACAAAATTTAACACAAGTAGTTCATAGACGTCTGTGTAATATATATAAGCTAAAGCTATAAAAATCATAGAAGAAAACATAGGAGAAAGTCTTTATGACTTTGGGTAATGCACAGTTACTAGAAGTGACACCAAAAGCATGCTCTCATAAAAAGAAAAATATTAAATTAGACTTCATTAAAGTGAAATACATTGCCCTTCCAAAGGCATCATTTAGAAAATGAAAAGACAACTCACAGACTGTGAGAAAATATTTGCAAATCTTCTATCTGATAAAGAACTTGTATTCAAATGTAGAAAGAATGCTTGTAACTCAAGTTAGACAACTCAGGTGGACAAAAGATTAGGTGTTTCATTAAGGAAGCTGTAAGGACATGAGAAGATGCTCAACATCTAGGGAATGCAAATTGGAACTGTAACAAGATACCACCAATACCCACCAGAAAGACACTTATCAGAGAGACAGTGGCAACTGTTGTTGAGGGTATAGAGAAACCAGAACCCTCACACTCTGCTGGTGGGAATGTAAAATAGTACAGCCACTTGAGAAAAGTTTGGCAATTTCTTAAAATTTTAAGCCTAAACCTAGCATGTGAACCAGCAATTCTATATCTAAAGATATGCTTGAGAGATGAAAACATATCCACACAAAGGCATACACATGAATGTTAATAGCTACATTATTCATGGTAGCCCCAAACTGGAAAAGTCCAAATATCCATTAATTAATTATTGAATGGATTAACAAAATGTGGTATATTCAACCACTGGAATACTATTCAGATGTGACTAGGATCATCTATTCACATAGATAACTGCTATACGGTGGCTGTTAATACCTGCTATACTGTGGATGTTAATTCCTGCTATACTGCGGATGGGTCTCAAAAACATGCTAAATGAAAGAAGGAGCTGCAGAATACTACACAAAGTTTGTGATTTTATTGACATGGAATGTCAGAAAGGGAACATTTATAGGCACAGAAAACAGCTCAGTGAGTACCTGGGACTGGGAATGGGAGTGAGGAGTAACTGCAAATGGCATAGGGAAATTTTTAGCATAATCAGAATGTTCTAAAACTGGTTTATGATGATGGTTATGTATCGGTAACTTAACTAAAAATCATTAAATTGTACAGTCTCAATAGGTGAACTTTTTATCATGTAAGTTATCCCTGTGCAAATCTATTAGGACAGGAATCTGAGGGTGCATGAGTGTCTGAAGGCATTTTCTCCCAGCATGCCCAGCAGCCAACATCATCATATATGACTGCTTCATTTTCTCACATTACTAGCAATCTTGTTAAATGTTACATTATTAACTTTCTTTATACTTGATTCCTTTTTCTGAAGAATTCAAGCATTGATTCATTCACTGGATCATGAGTCAGCTATTCCAAGAAAGTGGTTTTGGAACTGGAACTAGCTTATTCAGACTTTAGGTAGAGTTCAGTACCTATATACAGTGAACATGTAGAGTTCAGTACAAATCAAAAGACATTGTGCCTCCCAGACTTCCTGGTCATGAAGTACCTGGCTTTCTCAGAGTTTAGTGCGGTGTCTAATTATTCTCATCATGTACTCTTGGAACAGGGCATTGGCAGGTGTTACTATCTTATTACACTATATGAGGACGAGGAAAACAAAGTGAGTTACTCAGGGTCATGTTTCAAATCAGTAAAAAAGCCATAAACTCAGTTCAGATATTCCTCCCCACCCCACAGCTAGAACCTTTCAAGAAAACATAGTCAGGTGGCTGCTAATCAAGTCCATATGTCACTGGGTTGAATTCAGTTCTTTTCTCTCATATATTTTGTTTTCCTTTGATTTGCCAGTTGGATTCTTGTTGCTCACTAAATTCTTATTTTTTAGCTCTTGCAGTTCAACCCACTGGAGCGCCTTGGTGCTGGAGTTGCTGGTGTTGAAGACATCAAATCGCATCCATTTTTCACCCCTGTGGATTGGGCAGAACTGATGAGATGAACCCAGAGCAGGGTTATTTTCACCCAATATGATTTTCTGTGTGACAGGCACAGTCACTATGGAGCACCAAAGCATCTGGATAAAGACCTTTGAGGAAATGGAAGGAAAGGCTAAGAGAGATTCATTTGCAGTTTCCACCTGGACAACATATTAGTTAATCTTGTCACGGGCTGTTGTATGCACACCTGTAACTGAGGTGTGACTTTAATGTAATTTATATTTGGTGTCGCGGATGAGTTGTAGAGCCAACTAAAGGAACAGTGCTCTTCCGAAAGTTCTCTGATAAGAAGCTCTGAGTGCAGCATTAAGTTTTGCTTGAAAGAAGGACCCTTACATGGCAGCTAACAGTGCTTTGCGCTAACTAGGATTGGTCTGATTAAATTAATATGGTGAATAATACACTAATGTGCTTCATGAAGGCTATCATTCATGGGACTTACACAGTGCGAAAAAGGAATGTACACATAATATCTGAGCAGAAACTGTACTGTGATGCTGATGATTAACACATCTTGAATGTGGTCCCAGGTTAATTCTGTGAGAAGAAAACACTCTTGTGTTCTCAGTTTTGTGCTTTGTGACTGATACTTGCTTATGTAGAGAAGAGTTCATGGAAACACTCACTTTTGTCCTCTTCCATTTCATCTTTCTTTTCCTGTCTTTCCAGTTCATGTTCTTCAGACTGCTGCTAGCACACATACAACAGAAAAGGGAAGGCAGTATTTATTCCTCCAAATTATATCAACTTAATAAAACTAAGAAATCATGATGTAAAATAAACATGGTAAACATTTAGATCTCTCCTTCATTAAGTAGCTTAATATTTTTACTTTTAATATTTATTATTATTATTGTTATTATTATTATTTTAGGTCTCTGTTCCTTTCTTTTTGGATTACTGGTTTCACTTGGTTCTCCTGTTTGACTCTGTTTTACCTGTGGGCTTTGTGTCCCAAGAACCAAAGGATCTCATGGAAATGCACTTGAATGGCAATCCTATTTTATTACTTAGAGTGATGAGGCCTCCAGGTTTGAACTCCTGATGTACCTGATGTACCTGATGTAGGGAGAATGAGTAGTCACACATCTCCAGACGTTTGCATTTGTTGTTTCTTTTTGTTGCTAAAGAAATTACAGAAATTTGTAAAATGCTTTAAGTGTTAATGTCCGTTTTTTAAACTTTATCCAAAGAAGAAAAAGTCAGTCTTTCAAAGTTAGAAGTCACCAGAAAGAATTGAAATTTGCTGTATGTTTTAATCTTTGTATTTTCGAAATCTGTGCAAGAAAGAATCCATAGCTATCCAAGAGCATTTGCAAAGCTTTCATCTGCCCTTGACCAGATCCTCCCACCAAATTAAATGGAAACAGAAAATACTTCAGTGAAACAAAGGAAATGTGCAAGCATTTTTCCTTTTTCTATTATTCTGCTCCCTGTTTTCCTTTTTGGTCCCCTTGTAACCCAAACGCCAGCTGAAGGGCTGCAACAACACCAGGTTGGGAAACAGGTCACTAGGATCATAGCTCAATCAAGATGACATCACTCCCTGGAACTAGATTTCAACTCATCATCCCCTGGCCTCATAACAGGAACTCATGCAGGTGAGACCTAAGAATGACTTCCTGTGTAGGTCTGTAGGAAGTCTGCAAGTACTTAGCACTGGCCATTACAGAACTTCCTTCCAAAAGTGCCCTCTGACATGAAGTAGGACTTAACAACTAAGGTGACTATCCCTGCCCTACCATGTGATTTGGATCCCTTGTATTCAAGGGATAGTAATGTCAAAACATGTTTGTGAGGTCAGTCTGTGAACACAATTCCACTGCTTTAATTTCTCCCTCTTTTTCTCTGTTTGGAGCCTGTGCTTAATGTAAATAGTACCCTTCATAATCATGGTGGATATAAATTATTTTGGTAATAAACACACAGGGTAAATGACTGGGGTTCAACCCAAGTCTATTTGATGACTTATGCATGTTTTAAGCTCTAATGCTGTGAGTGCTTCTGTTTTTTGTTGCTGCAATAGATAGATAGATAGAGATATATTTTTTTTTAACTAGAGGAGTAAGTTTGGATCAAAAGTCATAAAAGAGAATTTCACTTAGTATTTCTCATTTCTTAATTGTAAAACAATATATTGTAAAACTCACCATTTTAACCATTTTTTATTATCTTTTTAAAAAAAGGGCTTACCTGTTTTAAAGGCAGAGAGAAAAAACTCTTCTATCTGCTGGTTCACTCCTCAGATGATTGCAACAGCCATGGATGAGTGCAGGCTGGGCCACACAGAACCCAGGAGACAGGAACTCCATCCAGGTCTCCCACATGGCTGGGAGGGTCCAAGTACTTGGGCCATCCTCCGCTGCCTTCCCAGACACATTTGCAAGACACTGAATTGGAAGCTGAGTAGTTGGGATTCAAACAGACACTCTGATCTGGGATTCTGGCTTCACAGGCAGCAGCTTAACCCATGGTGCCATTAATGCTGGCCCCTATTGTAACCTGTTGTAAGTATATGATTAAGTTGCCAATGCCATTCACTATTATTTTACAGTGCTCTTTATAGAAGGGCTTTTCCAGACAGGTTGCTAATACTGTTATGGTACAATGCCGCTTGTCTTAAGATGTGATATAAAAACCTACCATTTCCATTTCACACAGGAGTTAAGTTAAACTACTTAAGAATAAAAAAATGCCATCATTTTAGCAATTTGTTTTAAATGTGATATGTTAAGATTATTTGAGACTTAAATATTTTTAATGTGTTACAATAACTGAACTCTTGAATTTTATTTTTAATTGATAATAATTGTGTGTTTTTATCTTCTACAATGTTGTATTTCAATTCATTTATATATTGTGAAATTATCAAAACAGGTGTGAAATCATCAAAACAGGCTAATTAGCATTTAAAATCTACCTTAGCTATTTTGAAACATATAATACATTATTATTAACTATGGTCACCTTGCTGTACCGTGCATCTCTAGAACCTATTCCTCCTGTGTAATTGAAACATTGTATCCTCTGACCAGTGTGTCCCATTGTGCTACCTACCTCTGTACCCCCAGCATCTGGTTACAGTTTATCTGCTGTTTACTTTTTTGAACTAATTGAACTCTTGATAATATATTCAAACTTTGTCTTAAAGTTTTTTAAAAAAATTTTTTGACAGGCAGAGAGCATGAGTGAACGAGCTCCCTCTACTGGCTCACTCCCCAAATATTCACAACAGCTGGGGCAAGGGCTAGGCTGGAGCTGAAGCCAGGAGCCAGGAATGCGATGCAGGTCTTCCACATGGATGGCAGGAACCCAATTACTTGAGTCACCTCCCTGGTGTCCCAGGGTCTGTCTGGAGCTTGAGCAGGGATTTAAACCCAGGAATTTGGATGAGGGGTGTAGGTATCTTAACCACTAGGCTATGCACCTGCTCCCTAAACTTCTGTTTCAAACAGCTTATTCACATTATTTTGGCTTTCATACTTATTGTGTCTTATTTAGGGCCAGTGTGAACCAAGATTGAGTTTTACTTTCATGCAATGTAGATACTGAAGATTATAAAATTTATAGATGATACTCCTGTTATGACTAGTAACATTAGGTTGAACTCACTTGCCCATTAGTCAGTGTCGCTCCCCCTCTTCGTGGAGGAGCAACACTAAACCCTGCCTAGGCTTCATATCCGAGTCACGGCACCATTATGTCGCTCCCCCTCTTCGTGGAGGAACGACACAGGACCCTGCGCTGTTCTTTCGTCTGCTCGGCCCTCCCCGGGTTTGCTGCTGGTTCTTCCCGGGTTGGCTACTATCCCTTCCACCTCCGTGGAAGGGCAGTTCCCCCTGGCCACATTCCCCACTTCCACAGGGGAGCGGCACACCGCCGGCCGGCTCTCTGGGGGGCTGCACAGGTGTTCCCTTAGATGTTCCCCTTAGATGTTCCTGGTGCATGCCATCTCTCTCCTCCTTTATAGTCCTCCTCCGCCAATCCTAACTCGGCTGCCCACACACCGAGTACGCTGCTCTCCTCCAATCAGGAGCAAGTCCTACTGTTTATTGGTTGAACTGGAGGCAGCTGTGCGGAAGCTGTTTACTTCTCTCCCAGCGCCATATTGTGGGAGAGCAGATGCATAGAATAAGTCTTAATTCCAGTAACTCAGTCTAGTCCGGATTGCTCCCCACAGATCCCCCTTTCTTTTTATTTTTTGGCGTTGATACGCGCCTGTCTTCGGTGTCCCGCGGCACACACTCTGCTCTACTTGCTAGAGTTGCCACAGGTTCTTACAAGTCCTATCAGTCAGGAAAACCGAATCCGGGTCCTCTCTTCGCCATGTTGTGAGGAGGTTTTTAGGCGCTGATGCGTGCCTGTGTTCGGTGACCTGCGGCTCACACTCTGGTCGAGCCGCCTGCTGGCGCTTACCGCCTTAATCAGGCAGACCGAATCCAAGCTTTCTCATTGCCGTATTGTGGGGGAGACTTATTAGTGTTGGTTTGTGCCTATCTTCGGTGACCTGCGGCGCATAAGCTGCTAGCAGCCCGCAGGTGCTCATCGCCTCACTTAATCAGGCAAACCGAATCCAAGCTTTCTCGTTGCCATGTTGAGGGGAGGCCTTTCTATTTCTCTATTTCTCTATCTCCGGGCATTCCTATTTCTCCCATTTTACTTCTATCTTCCAGCATTCCTATTTCTCTCATTTTACTTCTAAAACTTCTGTTTCTCTTATCCCCGCAGCTTCCCGGCGCCTCGCCCTGCCGGCAGCTTCCCGGCTTTGCGCCGCTTCAGCCAGCGCCTCTCTCATCTGCGCGGCTCGGCTTTGCGCGCACACTCCGCGGTCTCGCACTTAACCCTTTCGCGTCTGAACCACGGCCTCGCGCCAGCCCCGCGTTCCCTATGTACTTGAGCCCCGCACGCTCTGTCTGCGCGCGGCAGCCTCCACGAGTCACACAGCGTAGCTTACGTGTCTGCCACTAGCATTCAATCTAAGTTCCCCGGGCTAGCCTGGCGAATTCAACCCAGCTCACGTTTCCGCCCCACGATCTGGCTTCCCGTCCTTTGCTCCCCGGGCTAATCAGATGGATCCCAATCTGGCTTACGTTTCAGCTTCTGGTTTCAACTTTTCGCCCCCTATTCCCGGGCTAACTTGAGAATCCCAAAATGGCTTTCGTTTCCGCCTTGGCCTGCCCCCCGCGGCTTCAATTTCCCTAACATTTTTCTCTACCCGGTATGTTTCCCCAAGCTTTCCTCCAACAATACTCCTCCCTCATTTCTCCTGGCCTCTCCCCACAGTCCGTATCCGAGTCTGTTTGTTCTAGCTTTCACTTTCGCTTTCGACCTTAGAGATTTCTCCCAGCTTCCCCCCGTAGTCCGTAGTCCGTATCTGCGTCTATGCCTAGGCTTTCAATAGCTTCTTCCGGCACCTTTTTCGTCTGGCTTTTCCCTAGGCTGTTTGCTAGTCTCTCTCTCCGGTATTTTCCCTTGGCTGTTTGCTAGTCTCTCTCTCCGATATTTTCCCAGTTCTTCCCGTTTCTTCCCTTCTAAGTTTCCTATCTGTCCTAAGTTTCCTATCCGTCCTAAGTTTCCTAATCCGAGCTAGGTTTCCTATCCGAGCTAGGTTTCCTATCCGAGTTAGGTTTCCTATCCGAGTCACGGCACCATTATGTCGCTCCCCCTCTTCGTGGAGGAGCAACACTAAACCCTGCCTAGGCTTCATATCTGAGTCACGGCACCATTATGTCGCTCCCCCTCTTTGTGGAGGAACGACACAGGACCCTGCGCTGTTCTTTCGTCTGCTCGGCCCTCCCCGGGTTTGCTGCTGGTTCTTCCCGGGTTGGCTACTATCCCTTCCACCTCCGTGGAAGGGCAGTTCCCCCTGGCCACATTCCCCACTTCCACAGGGGAGCGGCACACCGCCGGCCGGCTCTCTGGGGGGCTGCACAGGTGTTCCCTTAGATGTTCCCCTTAGATGTTCCTGGTGCATGCCATCTCTCTCCTCCTTTATAGTCCTCCTCCGCCAATCCTAACTCGGCTGCCCACACGCCGAGTACGCTGCTCTCCTCCAATCAGGAGCAAGTCCTACTGTTTATTGGTTGAACTGGAGGCAGCTGTGCGGAAGCTGTTTACTTCTCTCCCAGCGCCATATTGTGGGAGAGCAGATGC